TAGGTGCTTTAGACCACTGAGCCATCTCCCCAGCCCTACACCACGATTTACAAATATTTCAATGCTTGGGCAAAATAAACTTCAGTGAGGCATGGTAGTTCATGCCTTTACTCTCAGCCACTTAGGGGACTGAGACAGCAAATGTTAAACAGCTGGCCTGGAAAATTGAGTTAGACCTTCTATAGTTATGATATGTAAATTCTGGGATTTATCTCCACCCTATAAAAAATCTGCTGAAAAGTAGAAATTATTCAGTGGACATTTTGCTTTGGCTTTCTGTTTTATCTATCTGTATATAACTGATATAAGGTACACTACTTGATGGTGCTCACTGCTGTCAACAGCAGGACGCTAGTGGGGAACAAGCAGTGATATACAGTGGACTATGTTCAGTGATGTCCACGAGATACTTAGTATTTTATTATGAAATTTTTCCTGTGTTAATGTGCATTTCCTCAAACACATCAAGCAAGCATGTTGAGCAGGTTTAAAGGATCCAAGATGTAGAAATAGTTTTTTAATTAGGTATATTCCTTTTTTAAAATTAATTTTATTGAGAAAAATAGCAATGAGACAGTTTAAATTCTGTAGATTCTCAACACATTTTATTTTCAGCTTCATTTGAGTTGATCATGACATTCTAACTGAAGAGGGGTCTCTAGATTCATACCTTCAAATCTTCTTAAAGTCTTCTGATACTCATCCTCTTGTTTCTTGTTTTCAGTGCTATATTAATCAGGTTCTCCAAAGCAACTGAATTTGAGAGAATAACATGAGTTACTTGGAAAAGGAAACCCACCTCTGGATTTGGTGGGGGGAGTTCTTCGTTTACAGTTGTTGTTATTATCATATGCCCCACTCTGCTCATACGGTCTAGCTTGCATCACTTAAAAAGGGAATAGGGTAGACATTTTCAGTGATCAGAAATGGGCCTGTGAAGTCTGAATGCAAGCCACCAAACATGTGCCTGGCTGAAGAGAGAACACTTCCGTTCATAGCTCTAATTATGCTGATTTTGGGAAACTTTCTGTTTTGACTTTTGGTAAACCTCTGCCTTGCTATGCCAGTTGGCCTGGTCACATAATCCCACTTTCATTTCTGTAACATGAACGGGCTGGCAGCATACCTTCCATTACTATGATTTATTTGCAAGGCTCTTTCCCCTTTGCAGTGATTTATATCTCTCTGGAAAAATAGGGCTGGATTGAAATAGCTCAGTAGATTAAAGTGCCTGCAAGCTGGCCCAGGGGCCAGGGGTTCAACTCCCAGTCCTGCCATGCTGGCCTCTCCCCCATGGCACACCAAGATGGCAATTGAGACTGGGCACAGTGGCATGGGCCTGTAATCCCAGCGCTTGGGGCTGTGAATTGGCATATCACTACAAGTCTGATCTAGTAGTGAGACCCTGAACAACCTATAGACCCTTCCCTAAAATACAAAAAAAAAAAAAAAGAAAGAAAGAAAGAAACAAAAAGTCACGAGCCTTTGTTATATGTTCCAAAAGAGAGTATAATTCCTGAAATGTCTCTAAGCTCTCTTGGCTTGCCCACACTCTGAGGATACACCCTCCATTTGGTATACTAGAGATGGCCATAGGAATGGCTGGTGACACAGCTGAGATAAAGCACCGGCCTACGATCAAAGCACCATTTAACCTGTCTGTATCTCCCCATGGTGTCGTCATGCACTGTCACGCAGTGGTAGCTGTTCACACTTACGCTGTCTGAAATGTCCTGGTAGCAAGAACAAGGAGAGAGTGTGTAATGGTAGACAGAGCACCTGGGAGAAACTCACTGAGCTTGGGTTTGTGATGCAGAGCTAGAAATTTGGGAGCTGTTGGGGTCTTTTCCCTGTCATTCAGGAGTTTATGTGTCTACTGCATCTGCTAAGTTGGGTTTTTTCTACACAGTAGTAATGCTGCACATGAAAAAAGATGTGAATGTGTCTCAACTTTTTTCTTGTAATCATGACATCAGTCATGAGAATACTAAGTATCATCTTGGGAGTGCAGTTCAAGGATGTTGAACAATGTCACATAGCAAATAGGACAGACCTTCTTAGAAGGAAATCTTGGAACCATAAATTGTTACTGCTGTGCTTGACAAACCTGTTGCAGCTGAATTTTCTTTCCATATTGTGCCACTTCTCGTCCCCACTAGATTGTGCGCCTTGGCTTCATGTACGTTTTTGATGCTGGCTACAGAGCCTAGATACCCGTGAGCACTGCACATGTGCTCTTCCGCTGAGCTGCACCCAGCCTCATGCACGTAGACTTTGGAGCCCAAATGGGAGTGTGTCCCATTATTCATACTGTGCATTACTTAATTCTTTCAATATTATTTTCTAGATTTATTTGCACTGCGGTATGTAGGTGTAATTCCTGAATGGGGCTCCACCGTTTGTCTCCATAGCATTTTACTTGCCTTTACCCAGTTTCGGGAGAGCGGGCTTTTCTAGTGGGGTCACTGTTATAAATTCCACAAAGAACATTCTCCTACTTTCTTCCCTGGAAGAAAGATTTGAGAGAATGCCAAGAATGCTCAGTAGCCTCTTTGCTGGGGCACACAATATATCATTTAAAATCTTATTATGGAGCTGGGGAGATAGCTCCCCAGTGCCTGTCTGGCAAGCACAAGGTCCTAAGTTCAATCCCTTGTACCACAAAAAAATAAAAATAAATGTAAAATAAATAAAATCTTATTATACACCATCCACACTAGCACCACTAGTGGGCAATACTGTCTGATCCTTATCACCATCAACACTGAACTTTTTCTACTTTAACAAGTTTCATAGATTCATAATGAAATTTAGTTGCTTTTCATTGTTCTCTGTTTTAAAACTCTAGTTTTAGGCATTCATTTCTCCATTTCCTTTACAAACTAATTTTTTAGTAAACATTTAAAATTCTCCATAGGTTTTTTATGTGCTGACCTTCAGGTAAAAATGCGTAAGAGCTATTGATAATTTCTATTCTGGTTGGGTGCAATGTAGCCGTATTATATTGTTATAATTTTAATGAGTAATAAAGCTAGGAGAACATTTTTTCAGTGAATCCTGTCTTTGGCAACATATGTGTCTCTATCACTTTCCTCAGTTTTTATATCTTGATTTCTTATCATTTCATGCACAGAAATTTTATTCACTTTCATTTTAATATTCATGACACTTTTTGTTTGTCTTGCTTTTTAACACCACACATGAAATTTTTGTTTTGTAACTCTTATAGTTTGTCTCTAGGTGTCCCCCCAAAGCCTATGCAGTCATGGGGCAGACTTCTAGTGTCTGTGATTTACTCATGATCCACTGGGATTATGAGTGTTCCAAGGCTGGGATTATGGGTCTGAGTACTGCTGGGATTATGGGTATGAGTGCTTCACCCAGGCTGTGGTAGATAGTCTAAATGTAACATAAGAGAGACAGAGAGACAGACTTCCTCTGTAGCCCTTGTTGCTGCTACTCCTCCCTTTGGCTCTTGCTGCCTTCTGCCACCATGAACTGCTGCCTTCTACCATGTGCCACTCTGCCTTGGATTCAGCTGAATATGGACTGAAACCTCCAGTAACTGTGAGCTAAATAAAGCTTTCCTTCATTTTAGGTGTTGGGTATTTCTCCCAGCAAAAACGAAAAGTGAGACAGAATTTAGTATCACATACATGGGGCTTCTACTGTGATATTGCCTGGCCACATGACTTTAAAAACTTTGTCATTAATTTGGAAATGTTTTGAGAGACTGGCTTACAGAGACGGCCCTTGTATGTTTGTTGTAAAGTATACTGCAGACTCTGACTAGAGCCTGGAAAATTAAAGTACTGACAGAAATGCTGCCAGTTAAGATGAAACTCAGGAGGCCTCTGTTGAGAACTGCATTGGGTTCTAGACCCAGGTAATATATTGTGATTTGGCAGAAATTTGGTCTGCATTTCGCTTGTGTTTGAAGACATTGCCTGGGTGGATTAAGAAAAATTTCAGTGTAGTCTACTATTGGGAACGTGGCATAGTTACTGTTGAGAGAACTTTTGGCCAAATCTATGTTTGAAATTAAGAATGAAGAAGTAAGGTGATATGAAACATTTAGCCAGACAGGTGACTCCAATATACCTTCGATTGCGAGGATGAACTAGAGGAAAATATTATTGTTAGGAACAGAACAATGTAAACATCAGCTGAAACTTTTCACCTGAGGATGAGTGTATTTAAATTGCAGGAGAACCTGAATGTTAGTCTTACCATGCTTTATAAAAATGAATGGGAAATAGGAACTGATTATAACAATTCTTTTATTGTTTTTAATGTCATCTTTATATATGTTTGTAATCAGGCTAATTAATCAAAGTGTTGTGTTTTAGCCTTATGTTTCAATTGTTGGTCTCCTTTATCAAAAAAAATGTAACTCAACATAAAACAATAAGCTCAGGAGTTGCTACCAAAATTTAATGGGGTTCTTCCGATAGAAGTTAAAGCTCTTTTCTCAGTTATGTTTGAAAAAGTGACAACTTTGTGGAGGGTATCCTGATTTTGAAATTATCTATAGTTCCTCATTTGTGAGGTACCAAGCAGCAATAGCTGGAGCAAAGCCACAGCTTAAGGTTTCTGTACAAAGAGGATGTGCAGAGGTATGCCAAGACTGCTGCTTACCCAACTTTCTTCCTAAAGTGTACAGGTAGACATATGAGGATTTCCCTTCAATGTGTATCTTCTTTATGGTAATTCAGTGTTGCAAGAGTTCACAATAAATTTTATTTTCAAAACTGTGGGTGACATTTAATAGTAATAATAATAATATAAGCATCCTGGGAATAGTAAAAAAGTTTCATCGTTGGGCCTTGGGCAATGGATGTGAGTATCCAGGTGCTACCTACTTTACCTGACTCAAATTTCTCTTGAGCCATTTGTGACCACTCTTCCTATTTGGTGACTTTTCCTCAGTTTACCACGTGCGATTTGCTATGAATAGTATTCCTTGTAGTTCATAATAAATACTGTAGACATTGCAGGGAAATGTTTTCAGTTTTCTTTTTGTGTAATTATTGTTTACAGGTGTTGATATGTGAATCATGAAGAAAGTTGTGATCTGATTCAGGTTTTCTTAATTTTACTTGAAGAGAATTACAACTCTCTGTATGATTAATAGCATAACATTGGATAAAAATCACTGGTTTGTATGTTTTGGTAAATTCCAAAGTGAAGAAACTGTGTATATAGCTTTTTCTTAAAGAAGTTGATTTCCTTATGGTGTTCATCCACACTTCCATTTTCTCTCGTGATTCATTCAAATGAGTTTCATCCTTGTTTTCTATTCAGTGTTTTCTCTTGAGTAAAATATATTGTAATCACTTTTAGGGTTTATGTTCATTGATTATTATATATAAAATCTTCATACTCTGTAAAATACCACAAGTATTCTCTTGTTTGGTTTATTTCTAATGATTTGCAAATATTTCCCTTTGTACTTTAATTCTGATATTTGGCCAGAGAGATGGCTCAGTAGAATAAACGCTTGCCTTTCAATTGCGAGCACCTGAGTTCAATCCCCGGTTCTACCAAAAGAAATTATAATAATAATAATAATTCTTATATTTGCATTATTTTCTTATGAGTAAACACTTTTCACGTCTAAAGGATTTCCAGCATGAAAGCTCAAGGTTCAAGTGTAATTATTGTATAGAATAGAAAAGTATACTATGCAGGCTTCCAAGTACATATTTGTTTCTTCTGAACATAAGTGAAAAAGATTTGATTGTTTCTGGAGAAGCGTAACACCTGCTCTTTCATTAGTCATTGTTCAATATACATGTGGACTCATTGAAAACCGTCTTCCATTCCTGCGATCCATTCTACTAATGAGACAGTCTCATGATGTTGGAATGTGAATGTCTATCATATATATTATTGAAGCAGTCGCCCATACACATGGTACTGATGACCAAGACATGAAGTTAATATTTGAAGGTTTCACCTTCTATTAAGATATTTTGTTTTCTTTTATTAAGATAGGGTCTCACTGTGTAATTCATAAAGGCCTTAAACTTCATGTGAAAACCACATTTGTCTTGAACTCATGGTGTTCCTTCTGCTTCAGCCTCATGAGTGTGATTACAAATAGTCACCACCACACCTGGCTCTCAGTTAGGCTTTATGAGAGGAGTAGAGTTATCCGAGGCTATGAGTCTCAGCCTTCCTTCAGTAAATATATGTATAATCTTTTAGGAGGCAGTAACTTTTGAGGATGTGGCTGTGAACTTCACTTTGGAGGAGTGGGTTTTGCTGAATCCATTTCAAAAGAAGCTCTACAGAGATGTGATGGGAGAAACATTTAAGAACATTGCTGCTATAGGTAAGGATGACATCACTTTCTCACTTATACGATTAAAGACTATTGTTTGTTGTTCATCAGTGCAATTTCATATGAAAATTTTTTAAAAATTTCTGAGGCCTGGTTACTTTGTATTTTGAAGCTAACTGGAATCTACTGAATTTCATGTAATGATGCAGTGACTCCTTATATTTCTGTTTCTTTATTTCAGGGGAAAACCTGGATAACCAGGAAATTGAAGAAGGGTATCATAATTACTCGAAAAGCCTAAGGTAATTCACACTCACAAAGAAAAGGAATGTTCCCCTTAAGAGTCCATGTATGAGGAGAAATATTACAATCGAAACAGGCCAAGTTCAAATTTATTTAATCTCACAAATATTCTCCACAAATGTATTCAGCTTGCATATATATAATCTCACAAATAAATTTAGAAATATTCCAAAATAGGAAACTAAATTAGTACTTAAATCATATAGTAAATGACAATATCTGATGTATAATATAAAACGTTCTTTCATAATCAACATCATATGTATGAAACTGCATTTAGATATTTTATATACATGTATACATGCAAAAAAAATTTGGGATTTTTAGGATATCTATGTGTACATGTGAATATGAGGAATTCAGTATCTAAAAATCTTGCTAAATTTGAAGCATTATTCAAAGTACAAGTGAGTGCTGCTGTTGTAATAATAGATATTAAAAACATTGTCCAGAGAATTGAGTCAATTCCTTTTTCCTTTTAATTCTTAGAAGCAGCCTTCAACATTTTGGGTGCGAATGTTAAGTACAGCCACTCTGCTCATCAGTATATTGATGGTACTATTAATTTCCATTGACTTACTGAAAGAAACATTTACTGCTCAATTATTTGCTCAATTGTGCATGACTATACCTAGTAATCTGAACTACTTCGAAGATAGCAATAGGCAACATAACAGCCATTATTAATTTCCTATCATCTTGTTTTGAAATTTTGTATAATTTTATTGTTTTTCATTATGCATTTTGTTTTTTTGTTTGTTGGGGGGCGGTTGTTTTGTTTTGTTTTGTTTTGTTTTGTTTTGGTGGAACCTGAAATTGAACTCAAGCCCTTGCACTTGCCAGGGAAACACTTACTCTACTGAGCCATCTCCCAGCCCGCTCATTATGTATTTTGTTAGCTTTTAAATAAAAATAGAAATTCCATTCAATCCCAGCTGACCTCTATTTAGAAAATTCCCAGAATGGTTAAAATTATTGTGTCATGCTCATACATGCATACCTATACTCAAAGCAAGTCAGCTCATAAGTGCTTGGCTCTGTATCAGACTAGGTGTCCATGATTGGGTGCATAGATAAATAAAAATTTTGATAGGCTCATTGGGATGATTCATTCTTATAAAGCCAGCATTCTGGGAGGATTATTGTGCAGAATGGCTAGTTGAAGCTCAGCTTCAGCAACTTAATTCTCAATGAGACTGTCTTTCAAAATAAGACACAAAGAAGCAGGAGATCCGATTCATTGCTAAGCTACATTTAGTTTCCAGCACTGAAAGAAAAAACTGATAGTAATCAGCCATGAAATGAATGATACTATGTCATTTGCCAACAGAAGTATGTAGTCTTGATCGCATAATGTTAAGTTTAACAAATCAGGTACAGAAAGTAAAATGCCTTTCTTTCTATTATGTGAGAAACAAAAAGTTAGAATGTGAAATGAAGAGGTGCTAAACAAAGGGGTGGCTGATGTGTTAGAGATGGGAAAGATTAATAGGGTAAGGATAAAGATAAAGATGATGGGGAAAAGGTGTCAAATATAATCAATATGTGATTGTACATATGAAGCAATTGCCCAAAATGAAACTAAAACATGTAAATTGCAAAATACAAATTTTAATATTTCCAAATGTACTGTTTTGGGAATGGTGACTTTATAGATAGCCTCCAGGTTGGGTGTGGTTGCACATGCCTGAAATGAGAGTATGTGGAAAAATGAGACAGGATGATCACTGCAAGTTCAAGACTAAGCTGGGCTAGAAAATGAGCTCAAGGCCAGTTGGAACTAGATAGAGACACCTTGTCTCGAAGACAACAAGAGAAGGGAAAAAAAGGATGAAATCCATTTCATTCACTGTCAACATTTCTAAGCAGGCATCAAAAGAAAATGCATTTTAATAAAGCATTAATATCAACACCAGTTTTATTGGATTTTTGTTTGTTTGTTTACCAGAAATGAAGAGGTACAGAAATGCTATCAATATAAAGTTTGGAACCAATGTAAAGAAATATTCCTTCCTACTCCAGATGCTAATGAGGATGGAAAACAAGCAGATTTAACACCATCTGAACTCCTTCCTTATAGAAATCCACACATTGGGTATTTGTCACTAAATGTTCCCATCGGAGCTCCCGCTGCACTGAAGCCAAGTGAGTATTTGAGATGGAAAGAAAAGCTGTACAGGTGTAATGAAACTGGAAGAAGCTGTGACAGTTTTCTGTCCTTTCACAAACATGCAATGACAAAGGCCGAAGACAAACCCTACGAGCATGATCAATGTGGGAAATCCTGCTCTAATGTTAGTGAAAGAATTCACCTTATAGAGAATATCTCTGAATGTAAGAAAAATTTGAAAGACTCCAGTATAACAAGTGATGTTCAGATCCATAAAAGCAATCACAGTGGGGGTAAACCCTATGTATGTAGGCAATGTGGGAAAGGTTTTAGTACTCAGAGGTATTGTAAAGTCCATGAAAGGATTCACACTGGGGAAATAGCCTACATATGTAAGCTCTGTGGGAAAGCTTTTAGCACACATAGTGTTTGTCGAATACATGAAAGAAGTCACACTGGAGAGAAACCCTATGTATGTAAGCAATGTGGGAAAGCTTTTAGCACCCAGGGTTATTGTAAAATACATGAAAGTACTCATACTGGGGAGAAACCCTATGTATGTAAGCAATGTGGGAAAGCTTTCAAAACACGTCTTGATTGTCAGAGACATGAAAGGCGTCATTCTGGGAAGAAACCATATGTATGTAAGAAATGTGGAAAGGGTTTCATTACATTGTATTATTGTAAAATACATGAAAGAAATCACACTGGGGAGAAACCATATGTATGTAAACAGTGTGGGAAAGCTTTCGGGACATTGTATTATTGTAAAATACATGAAAGAAATCACACTGGGGAGAAACCATATGTATGTAAACAGTGTGGGAAAGCTTTCGGGACATTGTATTATTGTAAAATACATGAAAGAAATCACACTGGGGATAAACCTTATATGTGTAAACAATGTGGGAAAACTTTCAGCACAAAGAGTCATTGTCAGGTACATGAAAGATCTCACACTGAAGAGAAACCGTGTGTATGTAAACAATGTGGGAAAACTTTCAGCACAAAGAGTAATTGTCGAAAGCATGAAAGATCTCACACAGGGGAGAAACCATACGTATGTAAACAATGTGGGAATGCTTTCAGGACATTGTATTATTGTAGAATACATGAAAGAAATCACAATGGGGAGGAACCTTACAAATGTAAACAATGTGGGAAAACTTTCAGCACAAAGGGTAACTGTCAAAGGCATGAAAGAATTCACACTGGGGAGAAACCATATGTATGTGAACAATGTGGGAAAGCTTTCAGCACACATAGTGTTTGTCAGGAACATGAAAGAACTCACACTGGGGAAAACCCCTACATATGTAAGCAATGTGGGAAAACTTTCAGGACATGTGATGGTATGGAAATTCATGAAAGAACTCACACTGGGGAAAAACCCTATGTATGTAAGCCATGTGGGAAAGCCTTCATGACACGTAGTGGTTTTGGAAAACATAAAAGAAGTCACTCTGACCAGAAGAACCCCTATGTGTAAACAATGTGGGAAAGTTTCAGGTTACACAATGAATGTAACACACATGAAAGAATTCACACAGGGGAGAAACACTATGCATATGAGCAATGTTAAAAAAAAATTTGCTACTAAGTCTTCATTAAATAGACACAAAATCTCACTGGAGAGAAACTTTATGTAATTAAGCATTGTAGTAGTGCTTTCAGCACACATATGTAATGTCAAATAAATGAAAGTCTTACTAGGGAGAAATTATATTTGTATGCTTATTTTGAAATTTTTGTGAAATTATTTCTGTGGAAGAGACATGGAGAAATAAGTAATACAGGGCAGCAAGATAGCAAGGTGGACTAAGCCCATGCTTAAGCATAGCAACCAGGGTTTGATCCCCTATACCACGTGCCACCCACCCTATCCCCTGCATACACTAAGCCAGCCACCAAGACTGCACATGGTGGTGCATGCCTGTAATCCCAGTGCTGGGGAGGCTGAAAACAGGATCACCTACAAATGCGAGCTGCATAGTAAGACACTGTATTGAATACAAAAAGCTTGATGTCAGTATTTCTCCATAAATTCCGCCAAAGAATACCTTTCTCACATGGAGATATCAGAAAGTGCATATTTTGTGTGGTTTTCAGTAAATTACTAATAGGTGGGTAGATGAGTTATGTGGAGTCTTTCTGACCATAACAGTAGTGTCATTTAATTTATCATGGTGGTTGAAGGTTTTTTTTTTCTTTCCAGTACAGTGTTTTTGTAGTTTTTATTTTGTCTGTACAGTTGGGAGGTATAGCCCACTAAAATCTTTATTCTGTAATTGCTTTTTTAAGGTTGTTCACATTTTTCACTGTTCTTGTTTTAAATTTTGGTATGTATTCTCTGTAACAAAATATATTGTTCAATTTAATGATATTTTGCTATTAAGATAAATATTTTTGTAGACTTCTGAGCATGTGTTTAACAATTGAATTATGACACAATTTCTGGATTAACAAATTTCATTTTTCATATCATGGCAAAATACCTGCTTATATGCCTATATTAATTGTATATTATATCATGTATATAATGTATTTGTTTTCATTTTAGATTCAATATCATCCTTTCCATAAAGTTTTATTCTTATAAAAGATTTTACTTTTCATAATTATATTGCAATGACTTTTAAGTTACTGGTATTTTTTCCATCACATTTACCAAAAATAAACCAAGGCTGAGTTTCTGATTGCCAGAGTCCTGCAGGACCATAACTATCTCCCAAAGGATTATAGTAATCTCCAGAAAGTATGAATGATCATATGATTTATCAGTAACAACACTTTCAAAACGTTGTTCAGCTATGAAGGTGTTTCAGGGAGTACAGTTGCTATTAAATGTACACAGCGAGTGCCTTTATTCTCTGATACTGTGATGCCAATCTATACTTGGTAATCCTTATTGTTTTTACCTACTAAGCTATAATACTGATATTAAAGAAAACCTAACTCTTGAGAGATATTGAGCAGTCTATTAAAAGCTGCAATTTATAATTTACATTATGTTCTCTTTTTTTTTTTACTGAATTTTGAGGTGCATTTTTAATTTTTATACCAAGGACCAAATGTGGTGCGTTGTTACAGTGCTACTTTTCATTGTTTATAAGGTCTACTGTCTGATGTTGAGGTATATTACAAATGGCTTAGAACACATATATGTGGGTGAACTGTGAGTGAATCCCAGTGGACTCAGGTGACCTGTGTTATAAAATCATTTCAATAATGTAATATATGGTAAAGTGTTTCATACAGTATTCATGAGCACAAAAGCTACTTAAAGTCAATGGGGCTCTGTTGTTAAAACCTAATCTTCAGAAGATTTTTGAATCTAGCAGTTCATTGGAAGGATTCTCACCCTGAGTAACTATATGCTAACAGCTGTGAACTTAGCAACTGCACTGAAGATGGCAATTTGTTTTTTGGGTTTTTTTGTTCTTTTTTTTTTTTTTAAGTAGAAATTACCGATTTTATTTAAAGTTGATTTTTCTAAGCCAGGGCACATCTCACATATTTCATGACTAATGTTATCAGTCTCTGTTACTTGTGTGGTACTTTTTGTTTTGTTTTGTTTTGTTGTGTTGTGGTTTTTTTGTTTTTTTTTTCTTTTCAAAGTTTTATTGATAAACATATAGCAATGAGACAGTTTCAAATCAAATCGAAAGTACAGTTTCAACAAATAATACACTGCACATATTCTTCTTAGTGGTTAATTGCTGTACAAGATGCAGACTTGTGATCCTACTTACAAACATCATTAGAAAAAATCATTCTATTCATTAAGAGAATGCAACTATATATCTATCCCAACCACTTTCAATACACAAATACAAAATAGACATTCATAGTTATACCCCATTTTTTTAAAGTTCCGTTATTGAATATTATAGGTGTGTAAACTCAGCAAAATATTCTAAAAGATACCAGTAGCCCATAATAGCATTGAGTCTTCTGTTTAACTGGCAATGTCAGAAATTATTGACCTGAGTCCCCCACAGCTGAAGATGGCAATTTGTAATAGTAGGTTCATGCTTGGAATGCCTGTCATTCTGGTCATCTGAATACGTGCTGCTTGTCATGGCGCGCCTGTTGCTCACGTGCTGTCTCTCTGGTAGACAATTGTTTAAAAAGGAAGGGGTTGGTGAATGAAGGCATGAGACAGGAAAAGGAGTGTTGCAGGACTGTCCTGCTAAAATGTTGTATATGGTTAGATTTCTGGATTTATGTGTAAACATATATAATTCTTTATTCCTATTTTTTAAATATAGGGGTTTTTTTAATGTTTTTTCATCTTATTCTGTAGGGACTTAAAGTTTGACATGTCAATACTTGATGAAAAATACCTGTTCCATGTTATGCCTGTATTAGATATTCAGACAAGTAGTGAGGTTAAGCTCAACAGCTTAGGTTGTATGGTAATAACAATAAACTTCTCTTCTGAAGGGTTAGCAACCTAAGTTTGCAGACCAAAATTAGAGAAAAAGGAGGGCCGCAAGGAAAGCCAACATTTTGGCCCTAGCCTTCCAAGGTCAATTAAGGCTCAGGACATAGGAGAACTTGTACTGTAACATCATGTAACTCATTTTCTGATCAAGGAGATTCTGGGGCCAAAGAGGAAAGTGATTGATGATGTAGAGTGTGCCTAAAGAGAGTCACCTGGACAGAAAACATTCTCTCAGGCTTTTGCAGAGAGCAAATTGGCCAAGCAATGGCTGTGACTCATCCACATGGCTGACACTGACAAAGGATCTACAATCTGAGGTACAGGGTCTCAGGATAAATTCTGAGGAGATTTCACTGACCTTATCACATCCAAAAGCTACAATTTTTGTTACATAGGTCTTGCTTTATCTTGATCTTAACCATCCATCAGAAAAGTATAAAAACAAAGTATAAGAAGTAAAGCCATGGGGGCCAGGGAGATGGCTCAGTGGAATAAATGCTTCCCTGGTAAGCGCAAGGGCCTGAGTTCAATCCCCGGTTCTGGGAAAAAAAAAAAAAAAAAGAAGTAAAGCCATATTGTTATGTTGAGCTATAGGGGACTCAGGTCAACAATTTCTGACATTGCCAGTCAAGTGGAAGACCTAGTACTATTACAGACTATTGGACTATTTCGGAATATTTTGCTGAGTTCACACACCTATAATATTTAAATGACAGAACTAAACAAATAAAGGGGATACAGATGAATGGCCATTTTGTATCTGTGTATTCAAAATGATTAGGATAGATTTATAGCTACATTAATTCAATGAATAGAAGGATTTGTTCTAATAGTGTTTGTAAACAGGATATCATGTCTGCATCTTGTACAACAAATAATCACTAGAAAGACAGTATGCAATGTGTCAATTATTCGAACTGTCCTATCAATTTGATTCAAAACTGACTTGTTGCTACTTATTTCCCAATAAAATTATGGAAAAAATAAAACCTATGATATCAAAACATAAATGAGTAAAGCATTAAATATTGATAATGCAGTGAACTCAATAGCTTATCAAAGACTTTATTCTGTTTAGACACATAAATTACTAACCAGTTGTGTAAAATCACCTAAAAACAACTATTTAATATCTAAAGTATCTGATATTCACTGAGTATAATACACTGCAGAGTCCCTTGTCAATTATTATACCTTATGCTAAATTCTTCATGGCACATTTGTGCTTCTTACCATCACTAGGAAGATATGCAGTATGTATTGCTATCCCAGGTACTAATGGAATATTGAAAATATGACCCATTTTCTCCTAGTCAGACTTACTTTCCTATGCTTTTACCATGAATCATAGACTAACACACACAATAACATGAATAAGCTAGGTATTCCATCTTCTGAATATTGAGACAGAACATTTTTTTCAATGCTGTCTTTGGTGATTTTAGTACAAAAAGAGATGGGATAAGACAAGAAACAAGAATTATGTGAAATTTGAAAACTGCAAAGACATGGAAGCCAATAAGAGTGAAGAAATAACCTAGATAATGAAATATTTCTGCCAGATGCTCCTCAGTGGAGTAATATCTGGAAAAACTGGCTTGTGAAATGAATACACAGATTGGACATGTAGTGATCCTTCTGTTTTTCAGCCATGCAAGTGCTGGGATTACAGGCGTGCAAAACCAGGCCCAGTCTCAATCACAGGTGTCAGCACACCCCAAGGGCAAGGCCCACACTGCTTATGGTGCTGGAGATCAAACCGTTGTCCCTGAGCTCTGCCTATGCAGGCACTTTAGTCCGCTGAACTATCTGGCTGGCCCTCATATTTTTCTTATAAATGTTAAATAGAATGCTTCAAATTGTAAATTCAATCATTACTACATAGCAGGAGGTAGTCACATTCTTAAATATGCAAGTGTAAAAAGATTTCAGCATTCTTTCTATGTTTCTAAAGAAAATGCCCAGAATGTTTCCAAGAAACATAATCTCAAATAATGGCTATGAGGCCACAAGTGACCCCAGAAGTGGAGAGACACACTGTG